CTTTGTGTCCGAGCCCAGCCTGGATCTTCCAGACCACGGGCCTGGTGGTCTGCACCCTACCTATCCCCCTTCCCCACCCCTCAATAACACGGATGCCTTCTCAGGTGCCTTACGCTCCCTGAGTCTCAAGGCTGCCAGCCGGCGGGGTGGGGACCACATGACCCTACAGCCTCTGCGTTCTGAAGGTGGGCCCCCCACACCCCACCGTGGTCTCTTTGCTCCTCATGCACTGCCCAACCGAAATGGCAGCCTATCCTATGACAGCCTACTTAACCCTGGCTCACCCAGTGGCCATGCATGCCCCACACACTCCTCTGTTGGCATGGCCAGCTACCATTCACCCTACCTGCACCCTGGGCCATCAGATCCACCACGGCCCCCACCTCGCAGCTTCAGCCCTGTGCTGGGTCCCCGACCTAGGGAACCCTCTCCTGTGCGCTATGACAACCTGTCTCGGACCATCATGGCCTCTATCCAGGAGCGCAAGGACAGGGAAGAGCGCGAACGGCTCCTGCGCTCCCAGACTGACTCACTCTTTGGCGATTCTGGTGTCTATGACACACCCAGCTCCTACAGCCTGCAACAGGCCAGTGTGTTAACGGAAGGTCCCCGAGGCTCTGCGCTGCGTTATGGCTCCAGGGATGACCTCGTGGCTGGGCCTGGCTTTGGTGGTGCCCGCAATCCTGCCCTGCAGACGTCATTATCCTCACTGTCGAGCTCCATGAGTAGGGCACCGCGGACATCTTCTTCCTCCCTACAGGCTGACCAGGCCAACAACAATGCCCCAGGACCCCGGCCTGGCAGTGGTTCGCACAGGTCGCCTGTCCGTCAGGGCCTGCCTTCCCCACCAGGCACTCCCAGATCGCCCTCTTACACGGGCTCCAAGGCTGTCGCCTTCATCCACACGGACCTCCCGGACCGGCCACCCTCACTGGCTATGCAAAGGTGGGTACCCAGAAGTGTAGATGGGTTTCTCCATTTGGGCCCCTTATGGCATGGTTCTCCCAGCTCATCCTGGAGATCTATGGTTGTCTGCAGGAACAGTGCACTGTGGGTGGGCCTCACCTGCCTTCAGGGCCCCTTAGTTACCCTGTTGTGGAAGGTCTGGCTCTGGGTACATATGCATGTGGGAACACACACATTTGCATGCTGAGCTAGCACAGACTTGGCCCAGGGCCCTCGCTGGAGCCAGCCATACATGGCTCTGTGGGCTCCTACTCCCCAGGTACATTGTCCCTCCGTGGTCTTGCTGTTTGCTCATCATGCTAAGACTGAGGGATATTAACGAACCACGGCTGATATGTACTTGAGCATGCAGCCCCAGAACAGGGGAAGGACAGGTGGGACCCAGGTGCCTGAGCATTGGTTTGTTTTGGTCTCTGGTGAGACCTGAGAGGAGACCCTGTTTATGCTCTGTGGCTACAAAGGACCCATGGGGCATGCCCACCTATGCAGGAGCCAGTTTGGTTTTCTCAGGAGTGGTGAGATGGGGAGACCAGCTCCAGAGTGCCCTCAGGGGAACAATAGTCAGCTCTGGCCAGGTGCTGCCCCTCATCTTCCTGAGAGACAGTGGAGAAGGAGCTGGGAGTCCACTACCAGGCTTCCTAACTTCAAGCCCAGTGTTCAGAGTAGGGCCCAGAGACTCAGGCTAGCTGCTCTTTGGCTGATTGAACTGGGAGAGAGGAAGGTACCCATCAGGATGCCAGCAGTCCTGGCAATGTCTGTCTGTCCTGTGATAGCACAGTCCTCTAAGGCAAGGACTGCCCAGGGTCCAATCTGCATGTGTCCTATTGCCCACTGTCCTGTGCTCACTGTGTGTGCATGTTTTGATGCAGGGATCACCCTCAGCTGAAGACCCCCCCAAGTAAGCTTAACGGGCAGTCCCCGGGCATGGTCCGTCTGGGGCCTGCTGCCAGCCCTATGGGGCCCAACGCCAGCCCTGCCCGGCACACGCTGGTTAAGAAGGTGTCCGGCGTGGGTGGGACTACGTACGAGATCTCGGTGTAAGAACTGAGCACCACTCATCTGCTGGGATTCCACGGGGACCAGGACCCCCACAGTAGCTCCCACCCCCGTCAACTTCTCTGCCCCAGGGCGAGGAGGCTACCCAAGCCTGGTGTGGATACATCAACAGGAAAGAAAGCCCCGCCTCCACAAGCTTGTGCTCCGGCCTCTACCTGTCCATCCACCTACCTACTCACAGGGCAGATGGATCCAAGGCTGTGGGCTGTCATGGGGACCTGGACTGCCTCCTCAATCAGCCAGTCTCAGCCCTGCCCCCTATTGCCCTCATTTCCCAAGGCCAGTCCTCAACAGTCCCTTGGGCCCACTTCCTTTCTGGATGGGTTGCTGTAGCCCCATGCTCCCAGCTGCTCCTAATCCATGGCCTTCCACTGACCTAGCTGGTAGCTTGTTGCTTGGCAAGGCCTATGCTTTGCAGGGAGTGTAACCCTGGCCTGCTCTGGGTTGTGATGACGGATGGACAGATGGACAGATAACCCAGCTGTAGCAGGGGTCCCAGCTCCGTGTCCCTGTCTTGCCTGGCTGGTGGGTTGATGTCCCTGTGTCTGTATGCCGTGCTGCGTCTGATGTGTTAGCGCTCGGCTGCCACTGTTCTTTCATCAAAGCCTTAACTTCTGCTTTATGCTCTTGTGGGAGGTGATGGGGATAGTAGGCCAGAGTGGGGAGGGGCCGGGCGCTGCCCCCGGGAATGGTGGGGCCTGGAGCCCACTCTCTCCCTCTCAGGCCTACCTTGCCAAACTGGAGTGTCCTCACCCCAAAGCATACGGAGTTCCCAGCACTGGCTTGGCCAGTGCCGCTGGAAAGCATATCAGGGGTCAGTTCTCCCCCTGGCGCCAGGGACCTGAGTAAGCACATGGCAGCGTCCGCTTGCATTGTCTGTTTTATGTTTTTATATTTACATCTATATATCTATAATTTTATTAAAAAAAAGGAAAAATCATTTTGATCCTTTCCTTGGGCAAGGCTATGGCTGTGGTGTAGGGGAGGGTGTCAGGAAAGGGGTTGGCCAGCTGGCACAGGATGGCACATTTTTGATGACGTGCCAAGTCAGGCCTAGTTGGTAAATGGGCCTTTGGCTGGTGAGAGCAAAGGTCTCTAACCCCCGATCTGTGTCATACTGGACAGCAGGGTGTGCGAGCACAGGCTAGGATCACAGCTGCCTCATAGGACTCTACTGTACTTTCTAGAAATCACGCTTCCATGCTAGATGCCGAGGGACAATAGGGGAGGGCCAGAAAGCCACACCTTTCTGCGCTGGGCTTCAGAATAGAGCTGGAGAGGGCTGGGCTAGGTCCCCAGTATTTTGGGGAGGGATTTTCAGGGACGCCCAGGGGAAGTGTCCAGAGCCTAGGACCCCATAGCTGTACCCCCAGCTGACCTCCACCTTTTTGCTTCTCTCTCACGGACATCGGCCCACAGGGGGCGAATTGGCACCTGTAGTCGTGGATGGGGGTGGCGTGGTCCGCCTAGGGGGACTCCTGGCCTGCACCTGTGCCACCTTGGCCATCCCGAGGATCACCCGCCGCTGCGGGCCCCCTGGAGCGTGGCCGCCGGGGCGCCCCCTCGTGGGACCATTTGTCGGCTACATTCCGCTGCATCCAGCCTTTTCCCCAGCCTCTCAGGTCCCTAGCAGGACACCAGCAGGTGGCTCAAGGGCCATGGACAACCTGCTGGGAATGCAGAAGACCAGGCTGCTGTAGAGCTTAGGGTGGGGCTGGATGTGGCCCGGGATCCCTGTCTTCCCTGTCAACCAGCCACATCTCGGCTCATCAGTCTGCCAGGGCCCATGACCCTGTGTCCAGGTGACCTCAGGAAATCCCCCCACCTGCTGCAGGGGTCCAGTGCCCCACTGGGGGTGGTCCCAGAGCTACTGGGAACCAGCATGACGTTCACCCCAGCCTCCCTATCCCTTCCGAGCACTTTAAGCCACTTCCTCTGGGGAGCCCAGGCCTCTGTGGATTGGGCTGGGGTGGGGGTCTCAGGTCATTGCAGGTTACTGCACCCCTCCACTCCACCCCGAGCACATGAACAGATGCCTTAAAGTCCTGGAGCTGCCAGCCAGCCTGATGGACCACAGACCTGGTCCATCCGCCTCTGCCTCTTGCCTGCTCTGACCCCACCTGGGCCTCCTGTATTCAGGGTGACGCTCTGGAAACACCCCAGCCTGCAGGCCTGGATGCCCCTGGAAGGGCAGAACAGAACCCCTGCCAGTTCCCCCTTTCACACAGGGTCCTGTCCTGGGGTCCACTCTGGGCAGCAGCTCTGTATCTCCCATTTGGGGACTCAGAATCTACTAAAGCTCTCTTCTGTTCTACAGGATTGCCCTCCCTCAACTACCCTAATAAATTTTTTTTTGTGTGTTTACCTCCATGGCACTATCTAACAATGTGAATCCCCTTACTTTAGCCTTGGAAAGTGCCAGGAGGCTGAACTCACAGGGATTCTGGGAAGAGTTGCCAATAGCCCTGGCAGGGTAGACAAGATGGGGTGAGCAGATTCAGGGCTCTGACTGCTGAGGTCCTCGGGAGGGCCTGGTCCAGGAGGTGAGCCCCACAGATTCCTTGCCTAGCTGTAGCCTTTGGGGAAGACCATCCTACCACACCCTCAAGCTCCAGGGGCCCTTTGTGGGGAAATACTTTGTGAGGGCAGATAGGACCCAGTACTGGGATTTGAGGCAGGGGCCCCAATGCCAAACCCCAACGGCCAGACAAGCAGAGTGCCTCAGAAAGTTCCCAAACCTTTCCCCCCCCCAAAACTCCAGTTTCCATGGAAACAAGCTTACATGCAAAGTGTGTCATGACTGTATGTCCAGCTGCAGGCCCAGCCCTCAGGACAAGCCCCTCCTCCACCCTTCTCTGCAGCTCCTGGTAGGGACTGTGTGCAGCAGTGCAGTAGGCAGGAACCAGTAAAGCCACCGGGCCCCTGGGGCAGCGCCAGCCACCTGGCCCCCTCCTTGCTGGGGCATCTGGGCCTCTGGCCTAGAAAGGCAGGAAGTCGTCCACCTCGAGGCGTAAGAAGGGGCCCAGTAGGGCCCTGAGCTTCCAGACAGCGGCTCGGCTCAGCAGGGGTGGCACCAACCCCTCGAAAGGTGCGGGGTCCACCACGTACACGTAGGCCGCTGTGCAGGCCAGCAGGGCACCCAGCAGCAGCCTCAAGGCCAGCAGCCTGCAGGCGGTGGCAATTAAGGGGTAGGGAATGCCCATGGGGATGATCCTGGGGGACTGGGCTCTGCCCAGAAAGTGACCTACCAGAGCTGGCCCTTTAGGCCCTCGGAACATCCCAGGTGTGGCCTGCCTTTCTGTCGGGGAGGGGGCTGGGTCAGAGCCTGTCCTCGGTACTTTGGGGGCCTTGGGGGAAGGGCAGGTCCCTAGCCCTGAGGTGCCTACAATATATGTGAATTCCATCGTGGGTCAACCAGCTGTGCCCTCTCCCCCTCCCTTTCCAAGAATAGTCTCTTGGAACCACTGGGCTCTAGCCCTGAGAGCTGGCCCCTGAAGTCCATTTCTCCAAATCTCCCTAGCGATACTCTGGTGGGACTCTGGAATCAGAAGGGACAGACGGGGTGGGGACTTACCTCCGTGCATGCCATCTGTTGCTGCTTCCTAGCCTGAGTGCGGCAATGGGCCCTCTCCCTGGGGGAATCACACCGTGAGGACCATGCGACCCTCGCCCCCAGCTGGCACCACCTCTTCTGTGGGACTGGAGATCAGAGAAGGGTCCACCCCATCCCGACCTGGTTCAGCCCGGGTCCCTGCATCACCCCAGAATCTCCAGCTGAATGTCTTCCATCTGATCTAGCACACCCCGGATGTCCTTCTTGAGGTTCTAGGAGACAGAGGAAGTAAAGCTGGTCCTCTGTCCCTCCATTGTGCCATACCCACTGCCTCTCATGGCCATCATCCCTACCATGGCCCTTTGATGACTTACCAGGAGCCCGGTGGCCTGGTTGTTGAGAGCCATGTGTACCTCGGCCACACCATCCCACACCTGGGGGCAGGGAATGGGGAGCCTGCATCACACTCAAGGACACAGCAGGGGCTCCCTCCCACCGCCAGCCGCCAGCCGAGCAGGTACCTCGGTGATGGCCATCTTCTTTCTCTCAAAGGACAGCCGGATCTGTTGCAGCTCATTCTGGGTGGGGAGGAGCAGTGTGGGCCCAGGAACCTGCTCTCGGCTCCCCAGCCAAGCCCCTCTCCCCAGGGCCCACCTGGGACTGCCGCACAAAGGACTCTTCCCCCTGCCAGAGCTCTTGCTGCGGTAACAGCTGCACAGGTGCCCTGTCTTCCAGGGGCCGGGTGCTGGCTGGCTCAGGGGACCGTGGGAAAGCCCCCGGGGCATGCCCAAGGCTGTGGACAGCGCGAGTTGCTGCTGCATGGGTCCGGGGCTGTGCTCTCCCGCTTACCCAGGCCAGGGCTGTGCAGCTTGAGTGCTCGGCACACAGAGGCAGGAACTGCTGCCCTGGCCCCAGGAGGGCCCCCAGCTGCTCCCGAAGGTCCTGGTTCTGCCTTTTCTGGGGTCAAGGGACATAAAGAGAGGGTCACCTGTGCTGGTTGCTTCTCAGGCAGGAAGCCGAAGCAGGTGAGCCTGGGCAGGAGCTCTGAGGAGTGCCCATCAGCCCATGAGATGCACTCACCAGGCTGTGGTTCTCCTGCTCCAGCTGCAGAAAGGATTGCTCAGCAGACTCCAGCGTCCCACCTTGGAGCTGCGTGGGAGCTGTCCTAGGTGAGGCTGTGGCCCCTCCTCCAGGAGGCAGGGTTGGACATGGGCAGGGCCTGGGTCCCGAGATGGGGAATCCTGTCTGCCTAGGCGGCCCCTTTTCATGCTCTGGATGCAGGGGCCAGCCCCACTCTACCTCAGCCTCCACTTCTCGTCTGGCCACTGCTGCCTCTTGAGCTCTCTGCCGTGACATCTCTCCTTCTTCACTTGACAGAAATATCCCAGGTGCCTCTTCTCCCACTCTGGGTCCCCCACCCCCTGTCCCCGGAGCAGGGAAAAGCCTGGAAGACTCTAGTGACTGAGTGGACTGAAGCCGGGGCAGACAGGACCACCTCACAAATCCCTGGCAGGGCTGATCTAGGCATCCTCTGTGACTGTTTGAAACTGGGGCTGGGGGACACTGGGGATGAGAGTGTCCACAGGGCCCCAGGGGTTTTGGCCCCTCCATTCCTCCCTGTGACCCCTTCCTGACCCCAGGTTCAGGCTCTTGCCTGGCTGACCTGCCACTCTCTTTGAGGGCACTTTAGATGTCACCCTGGCTCACAAATCTACCCAGAATGACAGTCACAAAGGCCTGGGTACAGCCAGGGAGGTCACAATGGGCTGGCTCTAGGGCTGGGGCAGAGGTGAGGCTAGTGGGCCACTCCTGCTCCAGCCCCGTTCTCACTGTCCCTGAAGCCTCTGCAACTATGTCTCTCCTCTGTGTGTGGAGGTATGTTCATGGTGCCCATCCATTCTCGGAAGGCTGTGCCCTGGAAGAAATCAAGTGTGACAAAAATGGCAGTTGTCCCCACCCCAAGTTCAAGCCTGTGTGTTCTGTCAGGATCTAGCTGACTAAAGGTGGGTGGGTTATATCATTAAGGCCCCACCCCTTTGGTTACGCCCTCAGGTCCAGTCAGGTTGCCAATGACCTGCTCCTGAACCCAGGTTAGCCCAGCTTTACCATAGCCATGCTCATGTCTGTTTAAGAGTGGGAAGAGCCAACATGACACCACGAGGGTCTAGAGGCATCTTACCCTGCCCAAGGCTGGGTTGGAAAGCCAGTCTGAGGATGCTCTCTGCTTCCACTCTGTGAGCTTGCAGAGGGCCCGCTCCCACCCCAGAGGCCCTGACATCCCATGCTGACAGATGTCTTGCTGCTCGTAGATCTGGGTGCTTGCTTGGTGGCTAAGTTGCGTGTTTTGTTTATTGGCAGTGCTGGGGATACAATCTAGGGTCTTGTACACACAAGGTAAACATTCCATTCCTGAGCTTCTCTCCAGCCTACCTGGTTTTTTGTTTTGTTTCATTTTTTTGTTTTTTTCTGAAACAAGGTCTCTATGTAGCTTTGGAGCCTGTCTTGGAACTTGCACTGTAGACCAGGCTGGCCTTGAACTCACAGAGATCCACTTACCTCTACCTCCCGAGTCCTCCTGAGTGCTGGGATTAAAGGTGTGCACTATCGCCGCCCCAACCTTATTTTTTCATTTTAATAGTTAATGTATCTTTATATGTATTGTGTGTATTTCTGTGTGTATGCCGTATGCACACATGTGCAGATGCACTTAGGGGCCAGAAGATAGCAATGGAGTCCATGAAACTCGAGTCACAGGTGTTTGTGAGCCACCTGCTGTGGGTACTGTGAACTGAAGTCTGGTCTTCTGCAGGAGCAGGAACTGCTTTTAACTACCGAGCCATCTCTGCTGCCCCATGGATGTATAAGATCTCATTGATTTAAGTCTCTTCTGCTTTTTCCACTTCTTAGGATCTCCCAGCAGACACTGGGTTTCTCCTGTGTATCCTGTATTTGTATGTCAATATCTTCAAGTCTCAATTCTCTCTTTCTTTAAAACAAATATCTATTTTTTGTGTACATGCACATGAGTGATTTATTTGTGTGTTTTGCCTGCTTGCGTGTTCACCACGTGCATGCTTTGTGTCCATGGAGCCAGAGGAGGGAACAGAAGTGTTGTTTCTGAGTCTCTCACTGGGATTTGGAGCACACTGTTCAGACCAGTCTAGCTGACCAGTCAATTCCGGCCACATCTGCCCATCTCAGCCCCACTGCACTGGGATTACAGTGTGGGCCACCACACCTGGCCTTTCTGATCTCTTCTGGATCAGACTCGGGTCCTCAGGCTTTAGCCCATCTTTCTTTTTACATACAGTCTTGTGTCATTTAATGATGGGATATTTAATAATTTGGCATTCTGGAGTACACATGTGTAAGCCTAGGTGGTGCCATTTCCTATGCACCGGGCCGTGTGGAACCTGGGTGTGAAGCACTCACTGCTCCTTGAGTTGGACTGAGGAAAGTGCAGAATGGGACACCTAGATGCCAGGGACTGTCACAGCGGAACTCAGCTGTGTTTTGCAGTAAATCCTAAAACAAACACAAAGAGCACACTAAAACAGCAAAACATCTCATGGTAAATGCATAAGGGAGCACCATAGCCATTTACTGTGATTTCGAAGTGTTGGGCACCGCACCTTGTATGTACTGCACTTTATGCAGCTGGCAGAACCGTGGGTGCGTTCTTGTCGTTCCCACTACAAGCACAAGGGGTATGTTATGCCACAATGCTGACAGCATAATTAGTTGATGTGAATTTTTCAATACCACCAAAATTTTTAGCTGTGATAGGGATAGAACCCAGGACTTTGCACATGATAGGCAAGCAGCTTCCGTTGAGTTGTGCTCTCAGTCCTTAATATTATACATTCTTATGGGACCACATGTGGCCTGAAGTTGACCAAAGTGTTACGTAGAGTAATATGGTCTATTAAAAAATTTGAATTTCAGTGGTCATATTTTTTAATTCCTGAGGTGTTACTACTCATCCCTAGAGACCTCTTCTTTTTTTCAGAGTATCCTGTTCTCTTTTCAGGGTACAGGCCCGGAGATCCTGTTCTCTTTTTAGGGTACAGTGGTTTGCAGGGGAGATCCTGTTCTCTTTTTAGGGTACAGTGGTTTGGGGAAGATCCTGTTCTCTTTTCAGGGTACAGTGGTTTGGGGGAGATCTTTTGCTGCCTACACTTTCCCGTTTCCCCCTTAGGATTCTTTGGTTCTGTTTTCCTTTATGTTTGGTCTTGAGACTTCTCACTAGACACTATTCTATTCTTTTTGTTTGTTCGATTTTTGGTTTTCAAGACAGGGTTCCTCTGTGTAACAGCCCTTGCTGTCCTGGAGCTCACTCTGTAGACCAGGCTGGCCTCAAACACACAGAACTCCTTCTGCCTCTGCCTCCAAAGTGCTGGGATTAAAAGCGTGTGCCACCACCACCAGGCAACACTATTCTAATAGAAACCTGGCTTTTCTTTTCTGTCTCTGTTTCTGAAGGGGCTGAGGAAGCTAATAGGTACTTTTCCTATTAACTGCAGGGTGGTCCAGGTCTGCGGAGGAAGGCCTCTGGCCACGCATCTCCCTGCTCCAGCTCTGATGTCTGGAATGGAGACTTAGAAAGTTCTGTTGGCAGTCGCCATGATCAGTACCGGAGTAACAAGCTTGCCGCAGGCAGTGCCCAGTTCCCAGCACTCAGTGTGTCTCTGAGTTAGCTTTGCATCCCGTCTTCAATTTGCTGCAGTCCCTTTACAGATGGCTCCTGTCCTGCTGCCTTGCAGACCTGGACTGGGTACCCACCAGAAACCGCTGAGACCTGTGGCAGAGGGAGGACACAGTGTGTACTACAGCACCAGCTCAGGCTGGGCCCAACTGGCTACACAAGCAGGGGCTCTGTACTTTTCCAGGGTGGGGCACACCTTAGATCCATAGCAACAGGTAGAGAATGGCAGTAGTGTAATGGGAAGGCCCCGAGTTGCCTCAGTATGTCCCTGAGGGTGCTAGGTCTTCCAGGCCCACTGTCTGCGCTCCTGTCTGGGGTCTCATGGTTACCAGGATATGCTGGTCTCTGAGGTGGGAGCCTACAAAGGCCTGTGGATGGCACTGGGTGTGAGGTGGCTATGGGTAGGGGTGAAGGGCGGCAGCAGCAAAGGCCCTGCGTAGCTGGCATTCATTAAGGGTGTCTTCGTACTCTCTTCTGTGTCTCCAGCCTTGCAAGTGCTCAGGATCCTCGGGGACTCCTGTCCTGTACGACTAGAGCAGCCTCACTCACACAGGCTGTAGGCTAGGCTCCTCAGGCTGCAACGCCAAGTGCCCAGGCTGGCTACAGCAGCTGGGCAGCCATAATGAAAAATTCAGGGTCCTTGAGCTGCTCTTCTGCGCTCCCGAGACCCTAGGGTACCCACCTTAACCTGGAAGCCTGCATCCTCTGATCACCTTACCTTTGCTTGAGCTCTGCCCTATCTGGAAGGTTGGTTTCTCTCAGAGCCAGCCCTGAAGACGCCTTCCCTGTCTCCACGGTCCTTGTACGGTCTTGAGTGTCCTGGGAGGTGGGGGAGTCTGGAAGGAGAGAAGAATCCTGGGTCTGCGTTATGGCTGACTGCTGCTCAGAACGTCACTGTACTAACCTGTGTTAATCAGCCTGCAAACTGGAATGTTGGGTTGGCGTGTCTGTGTGGAACCCAGATTCCATGCAGAAGAAGGACTGGGTCTGCATTGGGTAGGGGTCCTGTATAGGTGCAGAGACGTCACAGCCACACAGAAAGTGTGGGAAACTAGAGTGTGTTGTAAGGAGCTAGAGTGGCCCTGGCCCCTGTTGCTAGGCAGCACACTTCCCTGGACACCAGTTGCCATGGCAGCCGCTTCCTGCCCATGTTGCCATGACACCCATATGGCCTTGAGGATCCCGGAGTGGTGGTAAGGGGCTAGCTACTCAGACACACTCACCCCCTCCTTGACTGGTGCCTAGGGGATGCTAAAGAAAGAAGAGAGAGGAGAGATCATGCTGCCCACAGCTTCTTGCTTACAGCTGTCCTGGCATAAAGATAGGGGCCCCATGGTCTGATTTTGCTGTACTCACCATGGCCTTGACGTTCAGTGTCCCATGTTCATCTCAGGGCCTGAGTAACCTCAGAGTCACAGAATCAGCCACATCCCTGAGGTGCTCCCATCTCTGCCTTTTGGGGGTTTTGTTTGTTCTTTGTTTTTTGTTTTTTTTTTTGTTTTTTTTTTTCTCTGTGTAACCTGGACTGTCCTGGAACTACCTCTATAGATTAGACTGGCCTTGAACTCACAGAGATCCACCTGCTTCTGCCTCCTGAGGTGTGCGCCACCATACCCGGCCCAGTGTGTCCTCTCCACTTGCAGCCTCAGAGCACCCTGCATAGGACTGGAGGATCCTAGCAGACCCCAGATGAATGGACCTATGGATTTTTGGACATTCCTGGAAGGGCCTTGGAACTGCCCTCTCTCACTTGGGACTCAGGCTTCTTTTATGTCTTTCCCAGGACATAGGGTGTGACCTAGGCATGAATTCTCCTTTGGTCTATTAGAGATGCAAGGTGACACTTGGCTGTGGCCTCAGATCTCCCAGGCGTCCTTAGACTCAACTAGCAGGGCAGAGGAGGGAT